CCTTGTAGTCCACTTCTCCTCGTCTATTAGGCTTACCTTCTATTCAAGTAACCAAAAATCAGGTCGTTAATCAAGGTTAATCAAATTCATTTGGATTAAGTGAGTAATAACGGGTGAAACAAATAAGTGTCGGTCATAGTTTGTAGTTATAATCAAAGTCTCTTGGAGGGAGAGCGAGAGTTTGTGTATAGATCTATACGGGGGTGACTCCCCCATACCTAAGTTGTTCGCTACAGTTAGACTCGGCCAATCTAGAGTGACAAAATCTTAAGATCAATTATGGTGTTCGCTAGAATGCCAAGACAGACGAACTATTCATTATTATGCATGGCTATAACGACTCACATAGAGATCCAATACCATCTAAATAATCATGGGAAATCATATTCATTCGTGGTGACGATACAATAATACAAAACGATCATACTATTTTATCGGAAAACATCGGGTTTTCTGGGGAAACCAACATTATTCACTTGTACTCTCAATAAATATAATGCAAAACTTCTCATTTATACACGTTTTGAAATCATTCACGTTTTGTATAAACAATTGCCGTTCAGGAAATATTGGATTTCTGGGTTTTACAAACTATACAAAACATTTTCATATCAAACCTGTTTATGAACTCACCAACATTATATATGTTGACGTTTTCAAAATAACTTGTATTCTCAGGTAACAGATAAGCTGAAGAACAATACCCAGTGTGTTAGGATGTATGTTTTGAAAACTTTCAAACAATTTACACTATGGATATGTAATATTTAGACAATGTACTTGATGTGAACACGGTCAGTTGTAATGTATTGATGCATGGTGATGTTGTGTTGTGTTTTCATGTATATTCATTGTGATGATATTTCAATTTAAGTCATGTGAGCCCTCAGACCTTTCCGTCGTTTGGTTCGGGGGTGTGACACATACTCCATAAAGTTCGTGACTTTAAGCCTTTGCATGGTTGAGAAAGTACTAATCCCAAAAAATCTCACTCTTTTCTCCCATTAATGCTCGTGTCTTATGCATGGGGTGGTTTTGACGTCCAATACTCCATTTTTATGAATCCACTCCATTAAAAACACTCAAAGGGACAAGTATTAGGCTCTGGAGTTTAACAGCTCATAAAGCTTCAAGCTTTGGGACCAAAAACCCTAAAATGGACCATATTATACACAAAACAAAAATGATGAGAAAGCTTTGAGCTTTATACCTGTAATGATGCTCCAACCACATAAAAGCTCAAATCTAAAGCTTGGACTCCAACTCTATTCTCTTCAATGCTCCTTCTTCACTCCAAGGATACCATAAGAACACTTAGAAGCTCACAAATGGTCACTCAAGCTCAAGGGACAAAAATTAGGGTTTTGAGAGGGTTGAGGGTTGGAAATGATGGCTACAAATGAGGCCATCAAGTTCCTTGAATAGGGACACACCCCACAATTAGGGTTTTCACTTTGAGCCTAGTATGCCTAGCGTACTAGGTGGCTTCCGCGTCCAAATCACGCACATGAGTACGTTGAGCGTACTCAGCTACCACCTTTTCTCAAATAAAGGGTCAAACTTGACAATTACAATAAAACAAGGGTTTATAAGTTATACTTGGTCTTGGGATGTTACAATAAATAAACAAAATAAACTAATGAGCTTTAATTTGGAAATTTTGAAATAAGAATGTAAGTCTATTAACGAAATTGATATTTATCTATTACTACATTTATTCTAATTATTACATTAAAGTATTATATGAAATTTATTAAAACAGAAAACCCATAAAATGACATGTGGAGAAAAAAATTAATTCAAAATAACCACAAAATGATAGTTGACAAATTGATTGAGAGTGTGACATATGACAAAAAAAAACATTCATTTATTAGAGTAGAAAAGTGAATATTTTTTCCTATAAAACCAGTTAATAATAGTTTTAAAGACCCATAATTAAAAATTATTCACTAAGTATTTTTTAAAGTTGATGACCGTTTTTTAAAAATATAACCAAATGACCATCAAATCGCGAAAAAAGAACCGCAATTCACTGTTTTATCACAAAAAACACTTTCTATGAAATATTTTTCAATAGTTATTTAGGTGGGCCAAATCAACTCTTGGGCTGACAAAAACCCACTTTTTTGGCATGGTACAAATTTTTTATTCTTCAAATCGCTTATCGTACCAACTATAGTTGGAAGGAAAATTTAACTATCAGTACCGTACCAACTATATTTGGTACTAGTTTATTTGGCTACCAAAAAATTAGTTGGTACATATTGATAATGGTATATACCAAAAACTTTAACTAATTTTTATTATTTGGAGATTTTGACACTTTATTAACTATATCAATGTAACACCCGTGTTTTTTGGCTTGTCATTAATAGCAATGTAATAGTCTAGGATAACCTTTGTAACATGTCTTGAAATAATAAAGATGTATTATTTGAGTATTATCAGGGGCGGAGCTAGGATTTTAGTATAAGGGGGCTTCCATTTATCGAAAGTTTTTAATACAAGTTTGTAGAAAATTACAAAATGACCGTTTGAATCACTAAGAGTGGCGCCATACTTCGATACCCTTTCTAAGCCCTATTTTAACCCCCGAAGCCCCGGTATCATCCCGAGACCCGAAACGAGTCCCGAAGCCCGAAGATCCCGAGAATAAAAGAGTTTCCGAGTCGAAGCTCTGCCTGCGATAAACCCGGTGTGTGAAGATCTTTCAAATTACCGAAGAAGTACTACTCTTGGAGCCGTAGTGTTGTTCAATCATCTTCTGATCAAGTGAGTGTATATTCCTTTTCTTCTAACACATAGATATAAAGTATCTCCAAGTGAATACGTGCTATGTGTATATAGATATATATTATCTATTACTTGGAATGAATTTGTATATTTGGAACTAGTATTAAATGAATGTCTTATCAGTTTTTAAGTTGCATATGTATGCATATGTGTATTGTTATCTACAAAATGTTGGGTAGAACTTGGGAGAATAGTTTTCGTGTGATAAACTGATAAGAGGCCTCAATGTTGATGTTGTTAATCTAGTCATCTAGCGAAGTATGGATGACGACCACAAAATCTTTCTAGACAGTCATGTGGAACACTAGTAGGCTCATAACATGTAGGTGTTGTGAACGATGTGTTCACCGATGTACTCTATCCCCCTCATGGTTGTCTTTAGGACATCTATTTCTGAGAAAACCCTTTGCAGTAATGTTCATCCCGATGAAAATCCTAGATTAGGTCCCTCGTAATAGATGTTGTTTTGGGGACGTAAAGTGAGGATAACGAGAATAGGTAATCAGGTTATTGTTGGTTGATGAAATTAAATATAATTATTTATTGTGGGTTGAAAACCCTATATGCTCATCAGACTCTCAAGTCTGACCCACTCAATTTATTTGTATCACAGGTAGTGGTGCGGGAGCATAAGATGGATGAATCATTAAATTATTTTGTTTATAAGCTTGTACATGTATATAACTGTTGTATGGCTGGTAATATGTCGTTTATGCTTTTTGGTATGTATCGGAACATGGTATTTCGAGTTTTGATTATATAATGAAAATGCATTTCTTTATGAAACGCTTTGGTAAATATTATTTTATCATATATTTGTTTTTGGGAACAAATTCCACAACCCTTTTAAATCAAAAGGATTTGCTCTAAAATTATTTTAAAAGCATAAATGAAACCGGTTTTTTTCTGACCGTGATTTTGGGGATGTCATAGGGGTGTAAACGAGCCGAGTCGAGCCGAATACTACCAAACTCGAAACTCGACTCGACTAAAATACTCGAGCTCGAAACTCGGCTCGATCTCGACTCGAGCCTTGATTTTAAGCTCGAGCTCGGGCTCGTGAAATACTCGACAATCTCGAGCTTGGCTCGGCTCGACTCGACTAATATTTAAAAAAAAAATCAAAATCACTAAATTGAGTAAGAAATATTAAACATTCCACATGTAAATATCCAAACTACCAAAAAGAACCACTATTAATCACTGAATATCAATATAAGATCAACCTTATATGTCATAAATGAATAATTATATATAAATTACATATATCTTATAAATGAACAATTATAAAGAAATGACATATATGTAAATTACACTAAGCTCGACTAAGCTCGCGAGCCTTACGAGCTGAGTATTTTTGTACTCGAGCTCGGCTCGATAAGGTACTCGAGTAGCTCGAGCTCGAACTCGGCTCGATTAAGATCGAGTCGATTTCGAGTATTTTTCGAGTTGGTCGCGAGTTTCTCGCGAGTTGGCTTGTCTCACTTACACCCTTAGGATGTCACAATTAACATTGTAATCATCACCCAGTGGTTAGAAAATTTTCCAAAATAAAAAAACAATTAATCAAAAAAATTATCATCAATGTTTAGTAGTGTTTATACACATAAAATAAAATAACTATCATGTACAATGCAAAGTAAATGTATTCGACTATCATATTGTTATACAATAACTACACGGCTGTCTCATCTCCTTGATTGTAAACATTATCTATATAAAAAAAGGATATAGTAGCATATGAAGTGGTTACTTAATTGTTTTTAGTTTTATTGTTTTGAGAAATATATAAGTAATCGAGTAATGTATATGTAATGCAAAACTTGATACTCTTAACTGAAACATAAAAATGTGATAATTAATATTTCTTCATATATATATATATATATATATATATATATATATATATATATATATATATATATATATATATATATATATATATATATATATATATATATATATATATATATATATATATATATATATAGGTTGGTACGGTACAACCGTGGTATTCAAAATTTTGTACAGTTACCATACCAAGTTTACTTAATTTGCATGGTAATACCGGCCAAATATATTGATTACCAAACATGTTGGCTACCAATTTAATTGACTCGGTTGATAACATGTTATGTTGGTTGGTTCTCTATGGTACATATTTACCGGCCTTAGTAACACTTCGCGTGTGCATTCCTCGCAGTCTCTCTGCCAAATCCCAATTGTTTCTTTATAAACATTTGCTTGTTAGTGCTTCTTCTTCGTTCCTCCGTCATAGACGTTTTCCGGTTACTGCTTCTTTCTAGTTCCTCCTTCATGGATGTTTGGTTGTTGGTAATGGTAGGTGCGGTTTGTTTTACATCGAATCCAAAGATATATTGTTTGTAGCAAGATAAAGTAAATATATAATTTTGGATGCGAGCACCGGAGTCTTAGATTTTCATAAAGCACTCTTGCTAGGCCGACGTGACATTGAGAAAAAGAGCTATAGAAAATTTTAATGCAGGGTGAGGATATGATATCAGTGCATTATTTGTTATGTAGAAGATATTTATATTATTTGACATTTGTTATGTAGATAGAAGATAAGCTGAGGCCCAGTGTGGCATAAGAAATAGCCCATCGAATTAGGGTCGAATCGGGTGCCATTGGTCCATCTGATAGTCTGAACTCTGAACCTACCTTTCTTTTAAGGCGGGAACAAGCAGGAGTAAAGACAAGGGGACGAGCTCTTGTGCCTGCGTAGAAGTCATTGACATGGAATCGGAAGCTCAAATTCCGGAATGGGCATCAACGCCTTGCATGATGGGCATCGACGAAGCTGGTCGCGGCCCTGTTTTAGGTTTTTTTTTTTCTCATTCCGACAACATCATTCACTGTGCTCCCGACTTTTCATTGCTAATTTCAGTTTTCCTGTGTAAATTATTTATTCCAGGACCGATGGTTTATGGATGCCTTTATTGTCCGGTTTCATACAAGGAAACACTTTCCACTTTGGAATTTGCAGGTTCATACTCGTATTTTATCGCCATTGTGTCCTCTAAATTATTTACCCTAATATCGTTGTTGTATTGATTGAACTGTTATGAACTTATGATTGTTAAATGGTGTATCGAAAGTGTATACTAATGCCTGTGGGCTGTGTCGGACCTATTTCCTCTTTGATTCGTTCTTTTAACCTAAAAAACCATCCAAGTTTATGAATGGTTTTGCTACCTTTTCACAGAATAAGATTGTTATTAAACCGTTCTCTCTCCTCTCAATGCATTATGGTAGATGAGTTATTTCACTGATTCCTAATTTCCTTTGTACATCTACTATGTTACTTAAAGATTATACAGCACATTAAACGATTAAGGGCTTCTTTTCTTCAATAAGTTGTGTGATGTTGTCATACACCCTCTCTTTTCTTTTCATTTTCACCTTCAGAAGAGCCTCTTCTTTGTTTTATGCAGATTCAAAAACTTTGAAAGAAGAGAAAAGAGAGGAGCTGTTTGAAAGTTTGAAGACTGATAAAACAATTGGTTGGGCTGTTGATGTCATAGATCCTAAAGAGCTTTCTGCTAAAATGTTGCAAAAGTCAGTACGCAACTTCCTGCAATAAAGAATCTTGTACCCATTAAATAACTGTTCTAATGGAGCCTGATTGCTTCTTTTAACAGAAATAAGATCAACCTCAATGAGATATCACATGAGTCTGCCATGGGCCTTGTTAAAAGGGTGCTGGACATGGGTTATCTTCTAACCGAGGTATAAACTAATAAACCTATACACCTGAATTTAAGTTTCAGTAAATTCCATGAAAACTAATGAATGTAATTACAGGTTTATGTTGATACAGTAGGAGATCCTGAAAAGTATACAGTTAAGCTCTCTGCAAGATTCCCATCTGTTAAATTTGTGGTTGCAAAGAAAGCTGATAGTCTGTATCCAGTTGTTAGTGGAGCAAGTATAGTTGCCAAGGTGAATGAATTTCCGATTGACCAATCATCTTATATCTTCTTATGCAATTCTCATTGCTTTTACAATATCCACCCATTTGATTGTACAGGTGACAAGGGATCGAGCATTGAGAAATTGGGTCTTTGATGAAACTGCTGAAAACATGCATAGGGAGTTTGGATCTGGGTATCCTGGAGGTGAAATAATTTGGGTTTCTTTACTTTGAATTCTTTATTTTAGTGTTATTAATAACAAGTTCGTTTCTTATTACAATGAACACTATTCAGATCCTGCAACTAAAGATTGGTTAGAACATCACAAACATCCTGTTTTTGGGTTCCCATCATTGGTTCGTTTCAGTTGGGGCACATGTAATTCCTACCTCAAAGATGGAGTTGAAGTGTTATGGTGAGTTTTCATTTGAAAAATCTACCCAATTATAACATTCTTGAGTTTAGTCCTTGTATTAAAAAAAACGTATAGCATATGAGTATTACCAAATACGGGTCAAGTTTTATTCGATTTTCTTATAAAAAAATCATTTGTGTTTACAGGGAAGCTGATAAAGAAGATGAAGATGAGTCCTCTAGTAAATCGGGAAAGCGGCAAATGAAGCTGAGTAATTTAGGTTTCACTGGAATGAAGAGGAAAAGTGAAGATATTGAATCAAGTGGAAAAGGTCGTTGCAAGTTTTTTGAATCACGCAAACTCGAACGTGTCTCTGGTTTCTAAATTCTAACAACAAACTTCATGCATTGTTCCTTAACTTCACTTTATCAATTTCTTTTACCACATAAACAAATTCAGAACAGTGGATATTATTGTATGATGATTTGTCACGTGCTGTGTAATATGGATCTTATCATTTCAAACGTCATCTCTCAAAAATGGTGTCATTTAATCTGTGTTTATGTCTTGATTTGTGTTCTGAAACTGTAAATGCGTGACAAAAATGGGATATAAAGGTAATAGTTAGTTTTAGAGGGCTAGTGCTTTTGCATTGAAGAACTTGTACTCTAGATACAGCTAATGAAACGAGCTTAAACATGGGGTTGCACGTGACATAAGCATGTTGTGTGAATTCCACCAAATTACCTCATTTGTTTTATGCTTCTTATGAGGCAATTGTAAGTCCCTATCATGATTTGGGGGTCAAACCTCAAAAGGATAAACTGTTGGAAGTGTAAACTGATTCATGTAAAGCTGGACCCAAATGATGCAACCCAGAAACATGAAAAATACAATCGAACAATAAGATCCGAATGTGAATCATATGTTGAGAGCATGTACATTTAGGTACATGTAACACATGTTTTCCTTGAAAGAAATTCATCTGACAATATCGGACGCTTGTCTAACAGGAAACAACATGCACAATTGTTTTTTTAATGAATTCCAACAAATTACTCTAACAATATTGGACACTTGTCTAACAGGAAACAACATATGCAATTGTTCTTTAATAAATCAAGGGCATGAAACCCACCTCGATATATTGGAAAGCTGTTATGTTTTCTTATTACATTGTATTGACTATTGAGCAAGTTACAACTAATGATCATAGGGTAATTGTTAGTTGCCTAGAGAATGCATGTAGTGTGCTCCTTTTCCCATTAGAGTATAAACTTTATAATACACACAATATTAATATAATCATGATCAACATTCTTGTATTGCCACATTCTTAATCTACATCAGCATTAGATTTAGTAGATACATTGAAACCCGAACTAGCAATCAATATTGTACAATTATACTTGAATTACCCACGTAATGGTATTTCCAAGTGTTTTTTGTGAGAATATCCTTTAGTTTTAGATTTGTACTCAAAGCACCCCAAACATGTAGTCCCTTACCCAAAAGGCCTGCGATTACAACATGGTTAATTTTAAGCTTCAAATGCTATGTTTTGCACACCACATTTACATAATAAGTTATTTATTTTTTGAACGTTATTAGGTTGTCATGTTTGACATATAAAAAAATAGTTTATAAATTAGTATTTTAGAAAGTTACTCAGAGTAGCATTTCAACAAGTTTATGGAGAATTTTTTTTTCTCCTATTGAATATACCCTTTATTACTTAAAAAAACTAAATATTTTGCATGTTCTTTTATATAATTTTCATATTTTAGTTAACTTATCATATGGTTTCAACAAATGTTATTTTTTATCAACTAACATTTCAACTGGTAATTAAGACTTCAACATTATTTTTAAAGCACCAAACTACCATTACCCGTAATTATGACACGTATAAATTTTAACCCACAAATCCTCACAGGTCACATCTTCCCTTTTTGTAACCCTTCAAAGTATTAAGTATAACCTGCAAAACTTTTTTTTTTTTTTTTGAACACTAATTATAATAATCTTGAGAAAATCATGTTGATTTATTTTTAAGCATTCAAATATATTATTTGAGATCATATATCCAATTTTAGCTATCAAAAAAAAAGTTTTTTATTTGGCTTCCTAACTTATGTTTCATGAAGAAGATTATTTGGGTTTTATTTTTAGAGTTTTGAGGAAAGAAAAGAAAATAAAGAACAAAATATTTATTTTATGTGGGATTAACGTTAAAATGAAGTCTAATTCAGAAACTTAGAAGTCATGGAATAAAAAAAAGGGACAAAAAAAATTAGAAGATTTATTTTGGACCATGTTAAAAAACATAAGATATAACTACGCCAAGAACAAAAAGTATAGTTTACTCGGAAAACAAATTTTGACCCAAAAACATCTTTTTTCTTTTATAACAAAACATACAAAATAAAATGTAACCCGAGCCGATATGACAGCCCGCAAAGTTATCCAAGGCCTTCAAAACCCTAGCTATAAATAAACATAGAAACAATATGCTTGAGCGCAGCTTCTTTATTTTCTGAACATCGAAACTCTAGGAGAGCTACAGATCATCAGATTTCATGGTAAGTTAACCCTCATCTAACTCTGTTGTCTATGATTCGTCGTCATTCTATTTTCACAAGAGTTTAACAATTTCATCCAATGCTGATTTTAGGCTCCCAAGAAGGAAAAGGCCCCCCCGCCGTCGTCTAAACCGGCCAAGTCTGGCGGTGGAAAGCAGAAAAAGAAGGTCAATTTTTGATTTAAGATCACTGATTTTCATCGACGTTTATGTTTTCGATATATGATAGTCAGCTTCGTTATGCATTTTCTTATTCTTTACTGTATTTTCACTTTTAGATCGTGGTTTTAGATTTTTAATCGTACATATTATCTGGTATAAAATTAATCATGCGCTGTAGTCTGAAATCAACTCTGCCTCAACATAAAGTAACATACTTTGATTTTTGATGTTAACCCTGGTTTTTTACAAATGCACAGTTCATGGGAAGATCGTTTTCAGTTCTACAACTTCTAAGATTGTTGTTAATTGAGCAGTATTTAGACACATGACAAAGTCTTGGAAAATTGTGTTGTCTTTTAAATGTCAAGTAGATTTTTAAGATTGTTTGTGAAATGGTTTTCAGAAGTGGAGCAAGGGAAAGCAAAAGGAGAAGGTGAACAACATGGTGCTTTTTGATAAGGCAACATATGACAAGCTTCTTTCTGAAGCTCCAAAGTTCAAGCTTATCACTCCTTCCATCTTATCAGACAGATTAAGGGTACATTTACCATTCTATCCTTAAAATCTTCTATGCAATGTAGTATCTTCTTCATTAAATTTATACTCACATAGTTCCATAATAAACAAACCTTTTGCTCAAAACTTTGAAGTGAGAAAAAACTTGAACTGGTTCAAACATGCTAGAAAGTCATCTGATGTTGATTGTAATTTTTTTTTCTGTTTAGATCAATGGATCATTGGCAAGAAAGGCAATCAAGGATTTGATGGCAAGAGGTGCAATTAGGATGGTTTCTGCACATGCTAGTCAGCAAATCTACACCAGGGCCACTAATACTTGAGAGATGAAAGGACTACTAGTTTTTCTGAGATAATGTCAAGTCAAGGCATGTTTTTTGTCATTTTTCTGCCTTTAGATTCTTGTTTTTTGTAAGATTAAGTACCTTTTATGCCATGCTTTTTTCATTTTAAAATGTCCAAATGCCATATTGTGAGATCCAAATGTGCATTTGTGCTGACCACGATTGAGAGAAGCTTATATTGAACAATTACTACTGTGGATTTTGTTTGATGATAACTCCACAGAATCCAGAATGTTTTGGATGGGTGATTTCAATAGCTTCATTCCAAAAAAAAAAATTCCTGTTATTTTTAAGTCGGTATCAACAAATTCCATGTAGAGATTAAACGAATCACTTGAATGTTTCCATATCATTTTTTGTTGATATTCGGATTAGAAGCAAAAACTTCAATGGAGAGGGTTTGAGCATAAAGAGGATATGTTCTATTGATTAAGCAATGATACCGGCTTGCTCCTTCACATTATCATATAGTACCACTTAAACACAAAAAATTTAAGGCTTATGCCCCTGTAAAGCCAAACATTTGAAGTTCACGTTCCTACAATACCAAAAAAAAGGTACATTTTAGACAAAAACATATAAGTGTGTAGGTCTCATCCTTTAAAACTAAACATCACAAAATATAATTACAACGAAGCAATTTTGCAATTTTTTTTTTTAAAGCATAATAGATTATCGTGTGTGACAAATATTAAAAAACAATAATTTTAGATATACGCATCTATTTTTGGTCAATTTTATGATTACTTGTAAAAGTAGTATAATTATCTTTTATTCTTGTTATTAGTTCCCATCTTAGGCGACATGTAATAGAAATGTGTAAATTTAAAGGTAGTAATACATGCGATGCGAATTAACCGTTTTAAAATTATAGCAAAATATCAAAGGTTGTGTATGGCAATGAGGTAATTGGAACTTTTATTTTTAATAAAACGTTTGATTTATACAAAAACCAGCGCAGAGTTGGAAAATTAACATTAGTAATATAAAAAACCAGCGCAAGCACACACCAAAATAGAGTACTATATTTTTTTTAACGGTAAAATTAACATTAGTAATATAAAAAACCAGCGCAGAGTTTGAAAATGCTATGGTAGAACATAGAACCAAAAAAAACATAATACAAAATAGAGAAAATTCTACGATCTAACTTATAATAGTAGCACCGGAGTCTTAGATCATGAAGTTCAATCGAGAACAGTGCACCAAATCACTGAGTCGACACTAGAACCACGAAACATAGTAATTGAGATCACACCGGATTATTAACTTGCTGCAACTTTGTTGATATGTCTTGATTCCACATTGACATCTAGCTAAGATAATGAACTGCTAATGGCAGACAGGATCGACTAATATCCCTTCCATCACGAATAACTTTCAACGGGTACCATCTGAGAGTTCTAAAAAATTTCTAAGGGCAGCCATTTTGCTATAGGGGAATAACTACCCATATTTCCTAAGGGCATCAATCTGCAACCACAGAACTTGATTAACTTTGACTTCACCATGTTGACCATCCAACTGTTTTTTAAACTCTCCGGATTGCTTTGAGACTTTTGATATCACAATGAGTGCTTCACTGAGAATAGCCAACTATGGGGTAAAATACCAGAGACACGTGGATGGTTATCCCTGCATCTTGTAGAGGTTAATACGTTGTAAATTGATACAACTTCATGTGTATGTCTTGAGGGCCCTGCAAAAAGTTTTACAAAAACCAACTCAAACTACACGAGACCATTCAAATAAACACGAAAGAAGTGCTACATCAAGCGGTCTAAATCCTAAATAATGTCTACCCTTATGAATTGATACACACACGAAACACATGCAAGACTGCTGCAAGCACACACCAAGACACCAAGCTATTTAAAGTTTCCCACCCTCCCCCTATTGCCCCAAACCTTAGAAACTTCCATTGAGACAAGATGCTTATAGCCGAAAACACGTGTTGATGGGTCGGAACAACATTCCATGATCCA